ACATTTGTTAAGATATTAGGTTTCATGAATCAATCATTTTTACAAATATATAATACCATTTGCATTGGAAATAGTAAAAACAAAATGAAAAATGTTTCAGAAAAATGTTTAATTTGAAGTATCTGCTTCTTAACAATAAAATGATAGAACAAATTTGCGCAATATGCGCTCAAATAAAGGGTTAAACTCATTGCTTACGCTCATGTCAAACACATAATTATGTATTGTCCTGTAAATATATCAAGAAATGATTTAATCTTAAAAAAAATCATTTGTCCCGTAAATTAGGACATAATGTCTCGTAAATTACATTCTTGTATTATAATGTTTTAAGTTCACACTAAACATAGAGAATCTGTTTCTTCTTTAAAACCAGTTCCTACACGAAAGCACTCATTAAAATATTTCTTCTCAATGATCAGAAACTAGTCAAATATTTTACTTTCTTGACTGAAATTAATAACACATACTGTTTTAACCTTTTAGCTTAAACACCAATAAAATTTCAGCCATATAAATAGCTATTTTGAATAACACATGACCGATTGAATTTGGCAATATATGAAATCATCAACCTGTTACATTTTTAAATCTCTCTATTCAAAATTTTAAGTAAAAAGCTGTTAATTGCTGTGTCTCGTAAATTAGAAAATTACGCATGAGCAAATTTCATCAATTCGTTTTTTTCCTCCATGAACTGTAGAATATCATCAGGCACAACAAAGATTCTTCCACCTTTTCCAGTAGCCTTTGGAGCATTTATCTTACGCAGAACATTATTATTTTCAACCCAAATTCGATCCATCTTTGTAGGCCACTTAAACCGTTGTATAGCTTTACCACTCTTTGTCATGAAATTTATGTACATTGAATCATCATTTTTATCAACTTCTAGAACTTGGCCAATATAACAGTTACCATCATATTCTGCAACAACAAAGTCAGACACTTCAACATTATTTTTACCTTCACCATCACTATCTATAGCATTAGATTCGCCGTCACCATTACTTCCTTTTGCCTTATCTTCAACTGAGGCTTGTTTGGAAGTATCAGATACATTACTCGTATCATTCCTTTGTTTTACTTCTCTTAATGTTACGATGTCCCATTTACAACTGGACTCTGAATTAAATCCTTGTTCACTGAAGCATTTTTGACATGCACAGGTTGTGTTTCTCATCAACAATAGGTTAGGTCTACCTTCTGATGTAATTGCATGCACTGACATTGTACCTTTGATAGGTTTTATCTCATTCTTTCTTTTCTCGGTTTCTTTACTTTTGTCATTATATTCTTCTTGTGTAATAAGCTGATAACTTATCTCGCTCTGGTTAGCTTTCGCCCATGCATAAAAATCGTGGGCATCTTGTATTACAGCTTTGGACTGTTTAACAGCCATATCAGCATTTCGTTTTGCGGTGCCCCCAACACCGTCACACGCGCTTTTTCCATGTCCACTCTCGAAATAGTGCCAGCTTGCCTTACAGCCATGTATACGTTCGAAATTACACACCAAATCAAAAATTGACCGATTCCTATACTGTGAAGACGGTGAATCTGTCCAAAAATGAGCATACTTTAGTTCAGGTACAAGTTCTTTGACAGTTTGTATGGTTTTTGTTATGATGGCAGATACCATTGAGGCGTTGTGGCTGAGCACTTCCGATACAAATACCATGCTTTTGTGACAAAGGGTGCCATCACCGCCATTGAAATATATAATTGTAGGATGTAGGGTTACCATAGAAGAATTCCAATATGCAGACTGTATCTCTTCAACTGTTTGACAAGTGTAATTTTCGCTAAAGTCCATCTGAATCAATACATGATTATTTGGTAAGTTTTCTTTCATTAACTTAACTGACTTGTACTGTTTCTTTACCCTATCTACGTGTGACACAAATTCTGTAAACTCTTTCTTCATTAAATTTACAAATTCTGCACTTGTCATTTCCACATCTACAATTCGCATTCTTTCTTTACCACATGACAGTTTAACTCTCTTCCATTGTTGAAACTTCACCTTGCATTGTGTAATCTTAGCCAGAATATTATCAAGTTGTTGAGGTTCATCTCGGTATATATCTACAAAGGCATCTGGACTAGTGCACGAGCATATGTTCATGTTCTTTAATGACCTTAGCTTAAAACTCATATTCTGATGTCTAGCACATAAGCAAACACTTCTGGAGGCAAAATTAACTAAAGTCAGCTCCTTAGGTCTAAGTCTATAGAACGATGCCTTTGAAATCTTGTAGTCTGTTTCTGAAATGAATTTTAGATGGAGGTTATGCATGTAATCATTGAGAATTCTCTTTTGTTTCTTCTCACCGCCAACCTTAACGCTGTCACCTTTGCCAGGCATTACACGTGAATTATCATCTCTGATAAGAAAATCACGAACATCGCCTTTTATTTTCTCTGCTTTTGACCTCATGCTCTTTCTACTCTCTCTTTTATTTCTCAATATCTTACGCCTACCTAAATCAGTCATTTCCTGTAAATACTTTCTCAATCTATATTTCTTTATCACCTTTCCGCTAATAATTGTTTGCAAGTGGTCAATGTCCCTAGGGTTTTCAGCCATAGTTGTTTTAATTTCTTGAGTCATACACTCTGCATAAATCAGTTGTTTTCTAACTTCTGGAACCTCTCGCGGTTGGAGTCCAGCCTTCTTCAATAAAGAATCTGTTTTGCTTCTAGGGGTTGTAGGTTGCTTCTTTTGAGCAGATTCAAAACGCTCAATTCGTTTCTGTGCAGTTTTAAGTTTTCTTCTTAGCGTTTCATTTTGGTCTTCTAAAGTTTCAATGCGCTGATATGATCTTTTCAATGCGCGTGACTGTCTCTTCTTCGGAGCTTTCTTACCATTTGGTCCAGACTCTCGTGTGTGAAATGGCATTTTCACTGTTAGTATATCTTCGTTTACAGTACTACTTACTCCATTAGCATCTTCATTGCACGTGGCTTTTATTTTTTCACCTTCAAAATTACTTTCAGAAGCTGTTGTCTCATTATGTTGATCGTCATTATGTTTTTTGTGAATGTTATAAAACTTTTTCCCATTCTTTCTATTATTTGCCCGCCTGTACTCTTTTTCTTCATCAGTAAGTAGCTCTGTTGGTTTATAATAGCCTTTGACCCTTTCCCGCTCTTTTTTTAACCACTTTTCACCTAGTTGCTCTTTTTTTCTGGCACGGTACTCTTTCATGCGTTCTGATTTTGATTTAGCCATCCTGGAATAGAAAGATAATTATATCTATCAGGGTACTTTAAACTGAGTTTAAACTTGATATTTCTATTTTATTTTTAATGGAAATAATACAAATTCCCTTTGGATTAAATTTTTATTGTGATCTTTACAATTAATTTTACACTGTTTCTTCAAAATACTTATAGGAGCTGAAGAAACATATTTCTAATTTACGGGACAAAAAAATTTAATTTACGGGACAGAAACATAAAATGATATATCAGAACATATTCATTCTTTTGTGTAATTATACTAGAAATTAATCAAAGTTGGTAGATATTACATTGTGCATAAATCGAATCTAAACACATCTAACAAACAGTTAGCTTAAAAGTTACGTGTGAAATGTACATATACAATGAAAATGTAAAGATGTAAAAATCCGTTTCCTTTTAAACGCACTTATTCCAAAAAGGACAACATTCAAAATTGATATTGTTTTACTTAATCACGTAGATACATACAACATTATTTTTGTATAAGTCTTGCACTTGCTATTTTTGTACTTTTTTAATAATTACCCCGTCAGGCCGGGGACTCATTATTTCTAATTTACGGGACTTTTTTTTCTAATATACGGGACGAAATGTTTTTACGCAGAATAAATGCCGGTGTTTATTACCGACACTTAATTTTGACATATATTTATCAATAATGATTTAGCTAATGATTTTGTACTTATATATAATAACACAATCGCTAAATGAAAATGAACATATGTTTCAAATATCTACCTAGTTTAAGTTTTTCCGCAAGTCAACTTCTTTTCAAAAATATGGCGGCGAACATGTGACGTTTACTTCCGATTGTCTATTAAAGGACGAATAGGGGTTAAAATAGCGAAACGTGTATAATATACACAATTAAAAACGGGTTTATGGCGGGTTTTGTCCCGTAAATTAGGACTCGTAAATTACAAATTCTACGAATAAGTGCTTATTAAATCACCAACATATCTATATTTTTAAAATGAATATAATAAACTTACCTTCTGAGGCTTATGCAGCATTGCAGTTACAACTTGTGAAGACAATATCTGTTCTGTCATATTAAATGAACAGACAAACAGCTTGAACTCAAATGTCCCGTAGATTATAAAGCTTATTTTCCGTTTTGATCAACTCAAAAGCAACCCTCTTCATATATTTACAAAAAGAGACATTGAATTAAACTTACTTTATTTATTTTGGATGACATATAAGACATTTAAAAATTGTTCATTGTAGTAAATACAAATATATTTCCCAAGTCTGATATGGTTTTTGAGTTTGGACTCGTAAATTATATCCAATTTAGCGACAGAAATAATGTGAAGATGAAAAACACAAATCTATAAAAAAACAAATATTTCTATTACTGTAGTTAAATAAGGTAATTGAATATTGTAAATTAATACATTTTTTTGATTTAAATACTCGTCAATCTATATTTAAACAACCTAAAAGTATAAAAGAAATGTTTGGCGACATAAGAAAATGCGGATCCTAGGGCCATTCCAAAAGTCGCATTTTTCGTGAAAGTCTTCATAGTCACTATAAAAAATGATTTTTCTTATCTGAAATTGACCTTTCTATCGGAAAGGAAATGTTTTTTACAGACAAACTTATTTCAACGTGTGTTATGGACCTTTAAAGGCTGGCGACACATATTGGCAATTCTATATGAGAATGGGTCACAAATGTTCTTTGCAAGTGTATAGTAAGTAAAACGAACAATTTCTGGATAGTAAGTCGCACGAAAACAAAATAGTAAGTTTCACAGTAAGTTTCCATTGGCATACATATACATAAAAAGAAAGTTAAAGTTCATATGTAAAGAGATAGAAAATACTTATTTCAATTATTCAAGATCAAATATTTCACTTTTTGTCTATAGAACGAATGCTTAATTGGTTGTAATCATAATATATCAAATGAACTTTTGATGGGATTTGATATTACATGGCTCATTCCTATTCTGTTGCGATAGTAGTTCTTTGACCTCTGCAGTTTCAGGTGTGTCTTGGCCCTCATTTTACTGTAATTAGAAAGAAGATGAACAAATATAATTGTTTGTTAATTGGTATGGTGATGTTTATTTACTGAATGCTGATGTTTTTATATGGCGGTATTTGTTACATTTAGTCACTGTGCTACTTAATTTATGAAAATATATAGAGGAAATCGCAAGAACAAAAAAACTTCTTACAAAAAACAACAACAACAACAAAAAAAAAACACACAAAAAACAACAATAATACAGTGATACAAGATATGATTAAGGCACACTGTGCCTCAGAAATCCATATTGTTTTAATTCTTTAGAAATGTCAAACATGTGTTTCATAATGTTTAAATAATGCATCAAACGCATGATAGAATTTTATTACAACTGAAAAAGGTAGCGCTGAACATTAAGTGATGTGTCGTTAAGGTAGCAAAATGTAAACAAAGTAGTATTTTGACTTCCATACGAAATACTTATTCACTAAAGGTATACCATTTTCCAACAGAACCAAAGATGCAAAAGGTAGTTTGAGTATCTAGCAAATGAGTACGTTTTCGGAAACTGTAACAAGATACCAAAAATAAACAGATCTTTTTTTTAAATAAAAATAATAGCATTTTAGAGGCATAATTGACCTTTAAAGAAAAACGAATACAGTAAACTTCACTTATAGCGAACACGGTTATAGCGAACTTCCGGTTATAAGGAACAATTTATTTTGGCCCGAATTTTGCCCTTCTTTATTTAATACAAAAATATACGGTTACAGCGAACACGGTTATAACGAATTATCGCTTATAAGGAACTCATTTGTAAGTACCAATTTAGTTAAAAGAACAGAAAATTACACTTTTATAACGAACACTAAAATACCGGCTGTCCGTAAATAGATTCCGCATCAGTACGTAATAGTTTTCTATTTGGGATACTTTTAGCATGAGTTCTTGTCACCAAGATAAAACAGTTATTCCTTTTATTGTAATATTTTTTTTCTTTCATAATTTTGCTCGAGTAAATAAATTATGATCATTTATAATCGGTTTCATACAGAATCACGCATGCTTGTAGGCATAATCCATTGAAAAGTACAAAGTTTGCTTGATTGAATTGAAAATAAATCTATATTTTCATTAAAATATAATATAAGATCTTCAATATAAAAGGAAAGGACAATCGAAGAACTTGTTTATTCTTCATCATGGAAAGAAAACAAAAAGCACTGAGTTTAGAAAGAAAATATGATATTTTATGAGAAATTGAGAAAGGGAGTAAAACTAAAACTGAAATAGCAAAGGATTTTCAAATTCAAAAAAAGTTCAATCTCGGGTATTGTGTCATAAATAGAAATAAATGACTAATTTTTCTTAATCAAATGCTCTTCAAAATGACGGAAGATAGTAAACAATCAGTTCGTTATATGTAAATCTGTTCGCTATAAAAACTCCTGATAAAAGGAACTAATTCGCTATATGCTTACAAGGAACTCCGGATATAAGGAACATATTTTGAATGTCCCGATGAGTTCGTTATAAGCGGAGTTTACTGTATTTGAAATCAAACAGTCAAAGATATTTACACTTTTTAAAGTGACTTATAGGCAAGTGGAGTAAAAAATATTTACATAAAACAATCTTAGATGCTGGGTTTCAAATCACACCGTCAATGTCGGGACACCTGAGTTAAAGCATCGACGTTTTGTTAGCTAATTTGATGAAAGAATTCAAGGACTCTGGTCGGACTAGAATCCATAGCGGTGAGAAGTATGTGTATAAAATTCAGGGACATTAAACTCTCGGCCATGGACGCCCTGAATATCTTATTTACTTACTCTATCACGAACAAAAAGTAAGAGTTTACGACGCAACACATTTGCACATGGTAAGAAAGTAAGCGTATAGTAAAACATAACGTTTTAACAAAACTTCTTGGGTTTATTTATAAAATCTGCCATTGTATAAAAGAATAAATTTAATAAAAACTTGGTATACCAGTTCTATGATGGCATTAAATATCAATGTGAAATGGCGAATGTCTTCTCCTTTGCGTTTTTGGTCCAAATTGCAGATACTGAAAAGTAAATGATGGTGTTGTAATATTTCCTTCTGTACAGTTATTTCTTTATATAGCTAGTTCTAAGGATAACGGATGTGGGTCCAGTCTAACGTGAAAAGGGGCCAAGTGTAACGTACATTGTTGAGTATCAATGTCAATGTCTCATTTAGTTTTTTTTTAAGTTAAGTAATCTTTAATGAAATTATATGAATATGAATACATGTATTATGAAATAATATGAATTATTATTAAAATACTCTCTCGATATTTGTTTCTCTGTCACCGTAGACGGAACACACTTGCAAATTTGAAACCAAATAATTATAAAATAGTTTCGTCACATTTAAGTAAGCTATTGGAAACTGTGCGTGTGACTTACTATTTTGTTTTCGTGTAACTTACTATCAAGAAATTGTTCGTTTTACTTACTAAACACTTGCAAAGAACATTTGTAGGCTGCAGACCTTCGAACAAAATTTTATATGAAATTCTACGATAACAGATGTCAATAAAATGATTGATTTGGTGTCTTAAGTGCAAAAAGAAGGTTTATTTTCCTTTATTTTGGTACCAAGTTATATCGCTTCGTGCGAATTACTATCGCTGAATGTGCAATTTTCACACAATTCAATCAATGTTCTCAAAAACCACAAAACGTAGGATAATGCACTTTGTATTATTATTTGAAGAAAATTAGCGCGCATATGAAATGCTAGGTTTTGTTTTGACTTAAGAAACGTTTGTCACCTTAATTTAACATAATAAGGTACTTACCGGGTCTCAGCAGTCGCCATTTTCTCGTGGGTATTACTACACAAAGTCACGTGATTCCCCCCCCGTGAGTATAAAAATCGTATAAACGATGTGTTACAATTATCAATTATCTTTATAAAGTGTTTATACTTAAATATTGTAATCTACGATACCACTTTTGCAATTAATGTAACATAAAGATTCCCATCAATTCCATTCAGCTTATTGAATATTTAAATACTGCTGAAGCATGTACTATGGGGCATGTATCTTAGATATACCACTACCCCTATATACCACTATACAAACAGGAATGACGCCCTTTCTTATTGATCTTTTTTCCACATATCAATCAATCAGTGCCTACAACATTTTAATAATTCTGTTGTTTTCGGCGTTCATTAAGATTCTGTATGATTAACTGAAAGTTGCCTCAGTTGAAATGGTTCGATAAAAATACAATATTGTCACAGAATTATAAACAGGAGACATACATATACATATAAACAACATCATGCTACTGGGTACATTGTATAAATGGACCAGCTCACGTTGAGCATGAGGAACACCTTCTACGAAAAAGAGAAAGCAAGTCAATCAGAACATTAATTTACTTATAAAGTGTAAAAAAAGTATAAAAATAATGAGGCATGTGACGACCCTGTCATTGTCCTGGTTCATCATGTTAATTTAATTGATCTGGACATATGCAGATATTTTTTGTCTCTTCGTCAATGGTGATTAATCTGACACCTCCTGTAGTTTTTCCTTATGCTTAGGATAATAAGTATGAGTAATACAGAAAACCAAATAACCCAAAGTTGTGAAAAAAAGAGTCAAGTTTCTTCACTTTTCCTTATAAAGATTTATCCAATCAGGAACTCCAATGTTGATATGTCTCATAGCTTTTGAGTTATGCTTTAAATAAGAAATACGTTTGAAAAAAGTACTAGCACTTACTTCAAAATGTACTGCCTTTTTCAATAATGCGGGTCATTTATTAAAATTTTAAATGATAATGAAGTTATGTTTCGAACAAAATCCAATACGAATAAGTACAAAGTTTCTATATTAAACGCACCCCTGAATAATTGTGTCAGTATTAAACATCGAAACTCCTTCAAGCTATGTGCACAACTTTGTTTTAATTTTAATTTCTGCAATTAATTGTTTGCAGTATCATTTTAGGTCTGGACTGTCTATTCAAATTAAAACAAAGTTAGACTTTTTCCTTCTCAAGTAATTGATTGTTTGGACAAGGAATTTACATAAATTGCCACTGTGACCTTGAGCAGAGAATTAATGTGCATCATGAACTGGCAAAGGTTGTGTCTTTACCAAGTTGCACAAATTTATCTTTATCCTTGTCAAGATATTAACCATACATTTTTTACACAACTTGGGAAAAAGGGTTAAACGAAACAAACAAACATTACACAACATGTCACTGACATTATGGCTTTTGACCTTATTACCTCTAAATCAAAAGTTTCATCTGCTAGCAATGAACAATAATCTAACCAATAAACATAAACCATGCCTTAGTTCTTATCAAGCTGATGGTAAAAGTAAGAGTCGTCTACAAGAAAGCCATGACGTACTTCCTTTTTTCAACAATCGGAGCTAAATATATCACACACATCTAATTACTCTTCTAAATAAAACATACTAGCAGCCATAAGTTATTTGCATTCTAAACCCGGACATTAAACCACACGTATTTCTCAGATCAAATTATTTTTCCTTGCTTGTTATATGACGAATTTTTATAAAAAAAACATGTTTTAAATTTTCAATGTTACTGTAATTTTTTGTTATTACTTAAAGTGTTATTTCTTAAAGTGATCTTATGCTTCATTTTTCACTGTAAAGTTGTCTTGTATTAGTAATATATTCATAGATTGGCTTTTATAATAGCGATAAACAAATAATTGATAATGAAAATATAAAACTACAAAACTACATATGTACATAAATTAGAAAATAATTACCCCGCTCTGTTAAGAAATGAATAATACCGATATATTCTGAACGATTTTATTTTGAACTTATTGATAAGTTGTTCATATTAAATGAGCCGCGTCACGACAAAACCAAAATTATATGTTTGCGCCCATCATGGATCCAGACCAGCCCGCGCATCCGCGCAGTCTGATCAGCATCCATGCTGCTCGCTATCAGTTTCTCTACTTGGTATATGGTTTGTAAGCGAACAGCATGGATCCTGATCAGACTGCGCGGATGCGCATGCTGGTTTGGATCCATGCTGGTCGCAAACGCATAGTGTTGGTTTTGTCGTGCCGCGGCTCAAATAATAAAATTGAACACAGTCATGGCTGACTGTTTAGTTTTACTTTTACAAAAGAATTACATAAACAAATTAGATTACTTAAGAAAATATGATCTTAACAGTTCTTATAGAAGCTAAATACATTTTAATACTTTGAAATTCCATGATAACCGCCATGAAAACACATCTGCAGATATTTCTTAATTCAAAATCTCGCCATTTTCTTAATATCTAAATTCAGAAGACGCCGGTTTAACGTTGGGCTAGGACGGTAGCTTGCATACCGTATATGGACAGATCGACTAACTCAAACCGAGCCTGTAAGAAAAATATTTGTTGATATGTTCATCCTCGTTTAACTGAGGCTTAATTATGTTTGAATATTAGCATGATTTTTGTCTTTTATATTATTGCATTGATTGCTCGCACTGAAATGTATTTATTACTCTGAAATTATATGATGTGTATGATGATGTACTATGTATAAATCAAAGAAATAAAAGTTCTGTTCTGTTCTGTAACAGTTTCATTTTAGTCGTTTTGGGCGTTATCTAGCATTTTTCTTCTTCTGTTTTATAACTATATTTTTTGTCATACAAATGCACTTTAAAGACCAAAGTGCGATGATATCTATAGATAAGCAATTAGATATTACTACAGTATATGGATCTTTGAAGATGAAAATACAAGCAATAAAGTCCATTTGAAATTGATAAATTAAAGTTTGTATCGTCAACAGTATGTAGACATCATCTGTTAATCGTGACGGTGGCTTTTCCTAAAAAATAAAATGCATTTTTTTTATTATTGGAACTAAATATTTTAATGGCGCTAATTGAATATATTTACCTTAAAGCGTCACTTAAAATCTTGAATAGACTTTAACAGCCTTAAGCGCATTCTTTGATGATTCACTTGATGTCATATTGATAACAAAGGTACATTACACTTGTATATTGCTTTTGACGAAAAAGTTAATTTTAACATTCAATTTTCGTCTTTGATTCTGATTTAATTAGTTTTTCCTGACAATGTTTCAAACCGGCGTTTTAACCAAAACACAAGTACTTACTTTTATTATATTGTAAACACACTATTATAATTATTATATGCCAACCTTCTTTAGCACTTTTTCATGCACATTGACTCGTTCAAAAGTACTGTAACAATATAACCAAATAAATGATACATTAAAAAAATTAAAACATCAATATTGCTCAAGTCACAAATTTAAATCAAATGTAGTTTAAAAATTAAAAAGATTCACACAAATAATAAAATACAGGTAAGACTTAAGAATTGTTAAAAATAAAAAGCGAACCTAAAAAATAATCAGTTTAAATAAAACCTCTTTAATAAGTGAGTTTTGAGTGCTCTCTTAAACACTTTTAAAATTTCACAGCTTAAAAGTGTTTTGAGTAGGGCATTCCAGAGTTTAGGGTCTGCCGTCATAAAACCACGATCACCATAACTCACAGTCCTACTACGCGGTACAACAAATGCTAAGCAATCATTCTGGGACCTAAGTTGTCTGGAAAGGATATAAATGTCTAGAATATTTCGTATGTACGTAGGTGCCTGTCCATGAAGCGCCTTAAACACATATGTAAGGAGTTTTATATTCGACTCTGATGTGCACAAGAAGTCAATGTAGTTCCTATAAAACTGGGGTTATATGGCAGTTTCGCGGTGTCCTGGTAATAACACGAGCAGCCGTATTTTGAACATTTTGGAGCTTGTTGAGAACGTACTTTGGAGATCCGTATAGCAACGACTTACAGTAATCTAATTTTGATGTCACTAACGAGTTTATCAAGGTTCTGGTTGAATCAACATTCAAGTATTTCCGAAATTGACATATTTGTCGTATTTTCCAGAAGCATGAACGAGAAACTGAGTTCACATGTTGTTCCATGTCTAAATGAGAGTCCAGTACGGCACCAAGGTTTCTAAATGTTTTTTTTACAGAATCACCGACTCGTACAGTAAGATCTTCAAAATCACTTCGTTTGATACAAAGAAAATCACCTCTGTTTTCTCCGCATTCAGTTTCAGAAAATCATTATTCATCCATAGTATGATGTCATTATGTCATTCAGGCATGCTTCAATCCGTCGCATGGTCTCATTGCGTTAAATGGCTTCCTTTGGTTTAAATGCCATGTCCCCCTCCATCGCCAAGAAGTTTTTGGACTTGTGAGAGGCTAAAAATGACCCAAGATCGATCATAAGGTAACGTGCAACCAACACTGAAAAGCAGTTGACTCTATCTCAATCCATTGAGAAGTTGCAGCACTTTGAAATCAATTTTGATGGAAAAAATCAACGCAAAATAGTGATTTTTGGCAATTTTGAGATGTCCATCTTTGCCATGGTAACAGGAAATTTAAGCCTGATCATGTTGCAAAGACAATGGTCCAGTTAACACTTGTGCCAAGTTTGATTAGTATTGAAGCAGTTTTTGTAGTTTTATAACAATTTGAACTCGTAATGGGAGACTTTTTAATGAAAATAGCCATTTTTCCCGAAATGCTTATGAAGTAATGGGTTAAACAATCTTTCATCAGCCATGTTGGAATGGGGGTCAAATTCACAGGATTTGTTTGTAGAATTGTGAATAATTTTAGAAATTTCAATATCAGTGACTACTAAAAAGTTTGAAAATTGCTCTCCATTGAAAGGCGCTGTAGGGATAACATTGTCTGCTTGTTGGTTAGATTTGGTCCTGGCTATACGATTACGTATGCCTTAAACCTTATCCACAAAGAAGTCACTAAAGTCTTGTGCTAGAACGTT